TGGGAGAAAGAAGGGCTGCTTATGCACAGGGAGACAGCTCAGGGGGCAGGAGTGTATGGAGGGATGGACACTGGGAAAAGGTAACTATGGGGAGGAAGTGGGAGGGGAGCTGTTGCATTGTGGTGAACTGTGGTCAATGACATGAGACAAAGTATATGTGAACTGCTGTATGGAAAGTGAATTTGTTCTGTAAATCTTTACCCAAATTACAAGAAAAAAAAATAACAACTTTGAATTACCTATCAAATTCTAGTCAGTGGAGATTCAAAGATGAATTAGACATGGCCTGTGCCCTCAAGAAGCTCAAATCTTGCTTAATTAGGGATACTACTCTCAACTTAGCTAGCTATTGCCAAAGGGATCCCACTTTAGAAAAAAAAAAAAAAATAGAGCTCTGGTGGCATAGTGCCTAAGGCATTTGACTACTAACCAGAAGCCTGGTGGTTCAAACCCACCAGCCACTCCTCGGAAGGAAGACTGGGCAATCTACTTTCACAGATACCACCTTGGAAACCCAAGAAGGGGTTGCTATGAGTCAGAACTGACTCAATGGCAGTGAGTTCATATATATAATCAGAATGTCCCCAAGTCATTCAAGCCTATAAAATTATACTTTCACATATTAGCCAAATGATATAACTTTAGAATCTATCCTATAAAAGAAGTACCGTCTATGTATAGGCACTATTATAAGTATATATATTAACTCATACAGTCTTTGAGTAACCTTATGGTTAAGGAGCTCTGGTAGCATAGTGCCTAAGGCACTTGACTGCTAACCAGAAGGCTGGCAGTTCAAACTCACCAGCCACTCCTCGGAAGAAAGATGGGGCAATCTACTTCTGTAGTGATACTGCCTTGACGGCACATAACAACAACAACAACAATACTTTTTTGATGTTAATATTGTTGAAATCCATACTAAAAACATGGCAGATATATTACAGCTTTCTCAGATTTTCCAAATTACTGCAAAACACTTTTCTCAAATGTGTTACATTAATTTCTGATTTATCCTTCATATGTATACATGTGTATGTGTGTGAGTTTGAACAAATGATCAGGTATATGTATATTTTCTTATTTCTATACAATAGATAGTACAGCATAGATACTCATTTGCACTTTGTTTTTTTCACTTAACTGAAATAATGTATCAGTTCACACAGGTCTGTCTCATTCATTATACAGCTGCCTAGTACTCTATCCTGTGGATGGACCACAGTATCGCATAGTACAACTCCTCGTTGTACAAGCATTTAGGTTGTTTCCAATATTTTGAAGTCATAAGCAATGATGCAATAAATATCCTTTCGCAGATGTACTTTTGGTATTTTCAAGGTTGATTCCTAGAGTGGGATTGTTGGGTCGAGAGGTACACACATAGGTGTTTTTGTTAGATATTGTTCAGTTGCTCTCCATAAGGTTTGTGTCCCTCTGCATTCCCAGCTGCAACGTATGAGCGTGTCTATTCCACACAGCCTTGCCAACAGAATATAATGTCAAACTTTAAATTTTTTTTGTCAGATAGTTGAAAAATGGTATCTTAATGTAATTTTGTCCAAAAAGCAACACTAGAAGATATAACCAGAAACAAATAAGATTTGTTACTGGGAATAGGGTGGAAAAGATGAGGGGAGTGATTGTGAATGAGTTGGAAGAGATGGGGGGAATGGTATTTCTCAGAATGTACATTTCTGTAGTTTTAATTTTAGAACCATGTAACATAACCACATTGAAGGGGGTCATTAAAAGAAAACAGAAAATCCAAACAACCTCTGAGCATAGTATTTAGGCTATATACCCTTAGACTAAAGGCAAAAAGAACTATAAATAAACATTGAATTCTAGTTAGATTTTTTTTTTTTAGTAATACAGGTCAGCAATTCTGAAATTACTTTCTTTGTATTCTAGGACTGAGAAAATAAGTAAATATGCAATAAGTATATGCATAATATAATATATAAGTAAATATAATAAAAGCTAGGTTTCTCACTGTTGAAGAGAGGGAAAAGCTAGAATGAACCCTGTGGTTATACTGGAATTAGAAGTATTAAATATTAAAGAAAGCTATAATGTGATGTTATTACAGCTACAAAATGCAAAGAAATCATAATGAACAGGGCAGATTTACTATTACAAGTGAATTTTACATTTCAATTACTTTTTGCCTCCATGTACAGAAAAGCTTTTGTATTTCCCAGGAAGTTCTGTTTCCATCTATTTATATACTTAAGTGACAATATTGCTTCCAAAAGCAAATAAGTTGAGAAGGGTATGGAGTTTCTTACCCCTGCCAGGCTTGCTCAATGGGGTCACAGTTGTCTAAGTAATTGAAACGAATGATATCAGTAGGATGCTTGTCAGAGGATCGCCATGGAGGGAGTTCTTTCTCCCCTGGATGATTCTTCTTTCTTAAAGAAGAAGAGGACCTAAAAGCTGATGAAGGGGACTGCTTTTCCTTTGAAGAACTGCTTGCAACTGGCTGAACACCGGCAACTACAAAGCCATCTTTTGGAGGAGTCTAGAAGAAGAAGTTAATTATTTATGTTCTCAAAACACTGTAACAGTAGCAACTAAAAACAACAAAACTAATAATATCATCTTCATCACCATAGTAATGATGTCTGTGATGATGATTAAAGCAGCCACTACCCAATGAGTACTTGCTAGATGAGCCAGGCACTGTCTCAGGTAGTTTTCATGCATTGTCTCATTTCACCTTTACAATAACCCTATAAGGTAATCATTACTATTCTCATGTTACAGAAAAGGAAACTGATAAAAAACTGAGAAAAAAATTAACTTGCCCACTACTATATAAGTAATAAGTTACAGGGGCAAGATTTGAATCCAGGACTGCTATGTGTCAAGCCATGCACTGAACTTACCTATCTGTATTCTTTTATCTACTGCTATCTTCTGCCTTATCATTGTAGTCTGTCATAACTGCAGTTAACTTACTCAAAAAAAAACAGACACATTTCCCCAAAGTACTCCAACTCTAATTACATATAACACCTAGAGACAATTTTGAGTTGCACCAGGTAGGTTCAAAGGCATGTCTGAAAAATAGTTCCTATGGCAAGCACTGAAATTATGCCATGTCCAAATATCTGACACCCATCTTTTAGATAACTTTACCATAATATCAGCTCAAAAAAACAAGCTAAGCTCATTAATCTTTTACTAACAAATTATGGCACTAAGGTCGACCCTCTGTATTCACGGGTTCCACATCTGCAGATTCAATCAACTGCAGAATGAAAATATTGGTGAGGGGCGTGGCAGAGGGAAGCAATTAAGTGGTCAAAGCAATTCTTCAAAGGCTAAGAGGGAATTAAAATGCTATTTACATATCATTTACATTGTATTAGGTATTATACATAATCTAAAGTATATGGGAGGATGTGCTTAGTTTATATGCAAATATCACACCATTTTATAAAAGGGACAAGCATCTGACAATTTTGGTATCTGTAGGAGGTTCTGAAATCAATCCCTCAAAGACACCACAGGACAACTAACTAAAAAACAAAACAAAAAAAACCAAACTCACAGCAATCGAGTTAGTCTGACTCATAGCAACCCCCATTGGGTTACCAAGGCAGTAAATCTTTACGGAAGTAGATTGCCCAGTCTTCCTTCCATGGACTGGCTGGTGGGTTTGAACTGCCAACCTTCTGGTTAGCAGTCAAATGCCTTAGGCACTATGCCACCAGACCTCCTTAAGGGACAACTAGACATGAAAATCACAAGTGCATCTTCCTTGCTTATACTGATGAAAATTGGTCTAAAATGTGCTCAAAATCACTTTTTTTTTCTTCAGTTTCTTCTCCTTTAATACTCAGCAGATCAAGATCACACAGTCTGCCTTGTCCCATACCCAAAACTCACCACCCTCGAGTCAATTTCAATTCATAAGGGCCCTTTAGGACAGAGTAGAACTGCCCTATTGGGTTCCCAAGGCTGTAAATCTTTACGGAAGCACACTGCCTCATTATTTGCCAGTGGAGTGGCTGGTGGGTTCAAACCACTGACCTTTTGGTTAGCAGTAGAATGTTTTATCCACTGTGTCACCAGAGCGCCTTCCTTGGCCCCTGAAGGGTTTCTAATTCGAAAATATTTTTACTTGCTGAATAATCTCTTATAGCTGGTGATGGAAACTGTGATGATTAATAGAAGCTGCTCAGTGGCACCTGCCTTCAAGCAGCACTCAGGGCACATGCCGTACCCGCCATACCTTAGACCTTTGGGTAGTGTTCTGGTTACCTAGTGCCGTTATGACAAGAATATACCACAAATGGGATGGCCTTAACAAACAGGAGTTTATTCTCTCATAGTTTGGAGGCTTTAAGTCCAAGTTCAAAATGCCAAGCTCTAGGGGCTGGGTGAAAGCCCCTCAGCTTTAGGCTTCAGCTCTGCCTCTAGCTCCCGGCCCACTGAAGCTAGATGCTTTTCTTTACTTGGACAGTTAGCTGCTGAGGCTGCCAAGCCCAAGGTTGACAAAAAGGCACAGTCCCGATGTTACCAAACCACACGGTAGGCTATTAACTCAAGTCCATCGTAAGTCCCTGGGTCAGCAGAGCATGGCAGGCTGCTAAATATCGACATGGCTACATGCAGGGTCCAAGTGTGCCATAAGCTAGAAACCATTCCCAAGGCTTCTCCTTATATACAGGAAGCAGACCACATCCCAAAGGCAGCTACTCAGCTGCTTGTGGTAGATCCCACCATGGAGTTGACTGCCAGTCTCATCATGGGGGATAACTACCACCAGCTGCCCAGCCACTCAACCAGGCCCAGCCAAGTTGACAAACAAACATAACTACCACAGGTAGATTACAGATTTTTATCAGTTATGAAAATCTCAACCATTCCCAAAGAACACTTTAGCTTTTTTCTTTCCCAAAATTGAAAGTCTCCTTTTTTTGAGTATGTGAAATTCATAAGGTTTTTATATGGTTGTAGCCTAAGGGAAGTACATTATTGGTAGGTTTAGAAGCCATTAAAAGCTTAATTTTTGTTCTTTAAGAGATTAAAGAAGCTTAGCTTGGTTAATGCGTTTGCTTAGGTTATTTGGGAAAAATCAAGAAATTCCCTAGTCTCTTCAGGCAGAGTGTTTTTCAGCTGCTCTTTGTATACACTGCTACCACAGGGCTGCATTTTGTACTCAGTGCAATTATTTGTTTATTTATCTCTTGGGCCACTAGACTGTCGTTAGGTGCCATTGAGTTGGCTCCAACTCATAGTGATCCTACGTAAAACAGAACAAAACTATGCCTGGTCCCGCGCCATCCCCACAATCATCGCTATGCTTGAGCCCATCATTGTGGCCACTGTGTCACTCCATCTCGTTGAGGGTTTCCTCTTTTTCTCTGACCCTCTACTGTATGAAGCATGATATCCCTCTCCAGATCCCTTCTGACAACATGAACAAAGTAAGTGAGACCAAGTCTGGCCATTCTCACTTCCAAGGAACATTCCGGCTGCACTTCCTCCAGGACAGATTTGTTATTTTGTATTTTCAGTATTCTTTGCCAACATCACAATCAAAGGCATCAACTCTTCTTCAGTCTCCTTATTCATTGCCCAGCTTTCACAAGCATATGAGGTGATTGAAAATACCATGGCTTGGGTCAGGTGTACCTTAGTCTTCAAAGTGACTTATTTGCTTCTTAACACTTTAAAGAGGTCTTTTGCAGCAGATTTGCCCAGTGCAATACAACATCTGATTTCCTGACTGCTGCTTCCATGGGTGCTGTGGTAGTTCAGTTTGTGTGTCAACTTGGCTGCACCTAGTTGAATGGCTGGGCAGTTGCTGGATGTAGTATTCCCCATGATGAGACTGGTAATCAACTCCATGGTGGAATCTACTGTGAGCAGCTGAGTAGCTGCCTTA